AATAATAGGTGAAACGAGATGTTACTTTTTTTTCCCTATTTCTGTGAATCAGAAGTCAGAAACTATGAAATTTCCTCTGAGTCTTGATGGTTCTTCGTGTTGTTGAGAGTCGTCGATTGGAGAAGATGAACGGTTTTGTGTTGTGTTGGTGAGAATCGACGATTGGAGAAGATGAACGGCTTCGTTTTGTGGTTAGGGTAGGGTTTTAGAGGTAGTGGAGTCGAATAGTGGAGAGATGGAGGATTGAGAATGCAGATGTGAGCGGCGGAGATATGACAGTGTACTGATTAGACTGGTGTGAGATAATCGTGGATGAAGGTTGCGCACGTGTAAATTGGATAATATGTGAGGGTATTTTCGTCTGATTGATAATTTGAGGACTTAATGGAGTATTGAATTTGTTTTGAGTCTAAATAGGGCGTAATATGTTGGGTTTGGACCTTTGGGTTAGTTCCCCTGCTAATAAAAACATATGGTGGGCTAATCCATGCATGTCATCCACTACTATAAATGGGCTTTCCAAATAATATCCAAAGCCACGCTTGGAAAATATAAAAAAGTTGTTATCTTCTAAATGGGCCTCATACAATGGGCCTTAAAATGTAAAAACGGGCCTTTTACTCTCTCTCTCTCTCTCTCAAAATATATACATTTTGGGGTTTTTTTTTAGTTTCTTTCTTCTTATTTTTCCTTTTTTTTTATTTTTTATTTTTGTACTATAGAATTTGGACATTTTGCATATGATAGGGAAAAAAAATTTGAAAAAAGATTTGTAACCTCAAATAAAGAAAAAGAAGGAAGGAAATAAAATTTGGATCCAGTTTATTCCGTCCACAATGTTTACAATTTAAGGAAGAGCCAATATATTTGCAGTTGCTTATGTTTAAAGTGAAATTACATTGTTTTGAAGTGTGTGATAATAGCATTTTATTTTAATTTTAACTTAAACGTTAAATTATATATTTTATTGACGGGTCTTGTTATAATAAAATCATAACAAAATCATTGCAGAAAATCAGACTCGTTTAACTATGATTCAAGTAAAGGATAATCGGACTATAGTGTTTTTGTCTTATTTTTATCACAGGTGCACTTTATAGAAATTTGCTGCAAGTAGCTTTAGCAATGTGTAGAATTTATTATGTTAAAATAACACAGGTGCTTCAACAATGTAACACTTTTTATATTATATTTTTATTTATTTGCCACTAACCACCATTCTTTGACCATCATTTTTAAATAATGCTTCAAGTCATTAATTTAAGTCAAAATTGTAAAATAAATAAATGGCCATGTGCATATAGATATAGTTTTTATCGTTACATTTAATTTATCTAAAGCTATTTGTACCAAATTAATTCACACTTAAATTATCTTCACATGACATAGTTGCACTCATTGATAAGATAAACTCCAATTATAATAGTATATATAGATATGTCCTCAAAAAAGGACGAAGTACAGATAAATTTTTTATCAAAACAATATTAACTAGTCAAACATATGTATAAAACAACATTGTATTATTTTATGTACTAAAATTTAGCACATAAAATAATATTATGCTAATTTTGTAGAGAAAATAACATAGTGCTATTTTAACCCAACATATACACTACTGTTGAAGTGAATTTTAATACTACTATACTTAAATATACTAAAAATACACTACTAAAAATCAGATTTTTTGCGACGGTCTCAAACGTCACAAAAGGTCCATATATCGTCGCAAAAGGCTTTTTGCGACGGCATAGCGACAGGAAATGAGGGGTGGCGGAAGAGGGCGTGACAAAAAGTATTTGTGACGGTTACAAACCGTCGCGTTCTTGTAGCGACGGCTAATCAATGATTTTTGCAACGGTTTAACCTGATACAAAAAAAGAGAAAAAAACTTCACTTTTAGTGACAATATGGGTTGTCGTCGCCAAAACTTTTTTAGCGACGGTATTTGTCGTTGCAAAAAGTATTATTAGCGACGGTCTAAAACGTCGCAAAAAAAAAAGTAAAATTAAATTAATATTGTGTTTGTGATAGTTTAAACCGTCGCTAAAGATGTCAGTAATATGTATATACAACAGGTTAACCCATCGCTAATAAAATGTAAGGAAATGATGATTACATTAGCGACGGTTTATTACTGTTACAAAATAATTATTTTCATAAAATAAATATATATTTTATTAATTAATTTCCTATACAAATTATTAATATTTTCTAAAATAAAATACATCCATATCCACATTCACATTCACGTTCACATTCACATTCACATTCACAAAATCATATATACGAATAATAATATTTATGTACTATGTAACAAGACACTGTCAACCAAATATTTCTTACAAAAATATATAAAACATGGGATTTTTATTGATAAATTTCATTTAGAAGTGTTTTAACTCAAAAAATCTATGAAGAAATTTATTAACTCATTTAGTCCCATATATGTATAGTTTTATTCCATAAAGTCTTTTTTCTTGATTTACACTCTTTTTTTAGACTCTTATGCCTTTATATTAAATTTTAATACCCTTACAAATATTTTTTGAACGGTTAGCAATTTTATGATGTAAATATTCATATTTTAACATTCACATTGGTAACAATGTAAAATTGGCCCATGGCCCGTGGGCGGTTCGAAGATCGCCCCCGGTGGCCCCTAGACGGTCCGAAGCTCTTCCTAGGCCGGGGCGGGCCCAGTCCGTTGACAATGTGAATATTCACATTAACATATTAACATTCACGTTGATAGGAGTGTAAACTTGACCCGCGGCCCGTGGGCGGCCCGAAACCCGCCCGCGAGCCCGGCCCGGCCTGTTTACAATGTAAATATTCACATTGACATGTTAACATTCACATTGATAGGAATGTAAAATTGGCCCGCGGCCCGTGGGCGGCCCGAATCCCGCCCGTTGCCCGGGACGGGGCGGCCTGTAAATATTCATATTTTAACATTCACATTGGTAAGAATGTAAAATTGGCCCATGGCCCGTGGGCGGTCCGAAGCTCGCCCCCGAGCCGGGGCGGGCCCGGTCCGTTGACAATGTGAATATTCACATTGACATGTTAACATTCACATTGATAGAAGTGTAAAATTGGCCCGTGGCCCGTGGGCGGCCCGAAACCCGCCAGTGGGCTGCCGGGGACGGGCCCGGCCCGTTAACAATGTGAATATTTACATTAACATATTAACATTCACGTTGATAGGAGTGTAAAATTGACCCGCGGCCCGTAGGCGGCCCGAAACCTGCCCGTGGGCCCAGCCTGGCCCGTTTACAATGTGAATATTCACATTGACATGTTAACATTCACATTGATAGGAGTGTAAAATTGGCCCACAGCCCATGGGCGGCCTGAAGCCTGCCCGTTGCCCGGGGTGGGGCGGGCTGTAAATATTCATATTTTAACATTCACATTGGTAAGAATGTAAAATTGGCCCGTGGGCGGTCCGAAGCTCCCCCTTGGGCCGGGGTGGGCCCGATCCATTGACAATGTGAATATTTACATTGACATGTTAACATTCACATTGATAGAAGTGTAAAATTGGCCTGCGGCCCATAGGCTCCCTGAAACCGGCCCCGTGGCCCGTGGGCTGCCCGGGGCGAGCCCGGCCCGGCCGGTTGACAATGTGAATATTCACATTAACATATTAACATTTACGTTGATAGGAGTGTAAAATTGACCCGCGGCCTGTAGGCGGCTCGAAACCTGCCCGCGGGCCCAGCCCGGCCCGGCCCATTTACAATGTGAATATTCACATTGATATGTTAACATTAACATTGATAGGAGTGCAAAATTGGCCAGCGGCCCAGAGCGGGTTCGACCTGTTGACAATGTGAATATTCACATTGACATGTTAATATTTACATTGATAGGAGTGTAAAATTGACCCGTGGCCCGGGGCAAGCTCGTTTGGGCCCGGGCCCGAGCCCAGCCCGAGAACTTGGGCTAGGACCTGGGCCATCACTTTGAAACTCGGCCTGCATAAGACCCATTTAAGGCTCGGCCTGAGGCCCGGCCCGCCAAGGGCCCGGTGTCTTTTTTGTGAAAAGTAATAAAATTTTGGGAGAAAAAATTAAAAAGAATTAAAAAAAATGGCGAGGCTCACCCAAGCCCAAGTCTAGGCCCAAGCCCCTTGGCTCGACCCACCGGAGCACCCAAAGCCTGAATACCTTTGTGTCAGGGCTTGGGCCTAGGCCTAATTTTTTGGCCCGTGGGTCGTTCCGGCCCGGCTCGAATTTTGGCAAGCACCCACGAGGCTTTACATAGGTTGGCCCCGGCCCGGGCTGGGCTGAGCCCCTACACATTGATGATATGAACATTTACATTGACGATGTGAACATTCACATTAGGGATATTTTGGTAATTATGTCACCCATAGGATGTGAACATTCACATTAGGGGTATTTTGGTAATTATGTCACCCATAGAACTTATTGAAACATAAGAAAATAATGTGGACTAAATGGAACATAAGTAGATAAAAAGGGTATTTTGGTCTTCTTACCTCAAATAGGAACATTCACATTGATAGTGTGAACATTCACATTGACGGTGTTAACATTTATATTGACAGTGTGGACATTCACATTAGGGGTATTTTGGTAATTATGTCACCCATAGGATGTGAACATTCACATTAGGGATATTTTGGTAATTATGTCACCCATAGGACTTATTGAAACATAAGAAAATAATGTGGACTAAATGGAACATAAGTAGATGAAAATGATATTTTGGTCTTCTTACCTCAAATAGGAACATTCACATTGACGGTGTGAACATTCACATTGACGATGTGAACATTCACATTAGGGGTATTTTGGTAATTATGTCACCCATAGGACTTATTGAAACATAAGAAAATAATGAGGAGTAAATGGAACATAAGTAGATGAAAAGGGTGTTTTGGTCTTCTTACCTCAAATAGGACCTAATGGAATAGTCAAAAAGAATATGGGTTTGATGTAATAAAGCTCTTAGAAAAAGGATTTATCAAAAAAGCTCCCATAAAACATCCTTCAACAATATTAATAATTTTTGATAATTCAAGAACTCAAATTTGTATTTAAAACAAAACAAAAGTATCGACAGTATAAATAAAAAAACCTATATATTATAGCTTGTTTTAGTATCAACAGTAAGCTTTAATATTGATATGCGAAGATATCATCACATACTCAAAAGATAGCATCTGCAAAAAGAAACAAAAAAAAATTAATTTAAAAACAATATAATTAATTTCAAACTTAAAAAAATATAAAACATTTTATATTTATTTCAATAAATAAGATTATAACATATATATGAATCGAGTACCACACAATGTATCTTCCAACAGCTTCTCTAACTATTTTTAGACCTCGGGATAGTGTTTCCAAACCAACCACTTTTTCACCCTAGGATAAAATATAATTTCCCTCATTTATGAGCAAAATGCATTTCTTCTTCTTTAAAAGATCATCCAAGAAAAAGTACATCATAAATGCTAGAAAATTTTTATAATAAAAAAAAATTGTTGAAAAAAAAACTCATACCTGGTAAGAAGGTCTTATGCAAGTTTGATTAGTTGCTGCTCTGACTCAGGGAATATTACCCAATAAGCACAGACCACTTCTACAAATTCCCGAGTAGAAGCCTAACACAAAAAATAGTAGATAAGTAATGGTTATTGTGCAAAAAGTAACTACAGGATTTAAGAAAGTAAAACAAAAAATCTAACATGGGCACTTGCTATAAGAACTAACAAGGAGTACATGCTTCAGGGAAAAAAAAAAAAAAAAAATTGGCAGAACAACAGTTCCAGCTGGCTCCTATTTCTGAAATTAAGTTCTTTTTGGTAATACAAGCACAGTTAGAAATTGAAACATAGTTCATCTCATTAAATTTAATCCAAGAAGATACCCATATAAAAAACAAATATAATGTCATTTTGTGTTCACTTACCTCAGAAGCAGTAGAACGCAGAAGGAACTGAGTCGGGGTAATTTCCTTATTTAAAAGGTCTATCATGATCCAATGAAGAATTGCTTACTTCTCTAGAATCAAGTTCAAGGTTGACAATGAATTGTTCTAACTTTTCAAGGAGTTTTTCCTTCAAGCTGTCAACCTGTCAATACATGGCCAACCTATCATGGTGTATGCATCAATACACCAGTCACAAGCACGGTTGTTAAATCTTTCTGAATATAATTGCATTCCAAATAATTTGAGTGAACAAACAGAATTCTAATATTTAGCCCACAAACCCTGAAATTTGTAGGAAATAAAGTTTCCAACTTAATAATATGCAGAATTATATTTTTCACTTTTAATATTTAGCAATATTTATTAAGGCTATTTTGTAATACAATGACCGACAGAATGACTAGATTCCTTAAAAGAATAAAACATGTAAAGCAAGTAATAATGAAGTTTGATTGACAAAACTTAAAAATAGTTTTAACACAAATCAGGAAATCCAATTGCTTTAAGAAGCATTGTAGCCTCGGCACTCAACTGTATAGAGTTGTGGCAAATAAACAGTTACATTAGAGACACTTCAAAAACTAAGCCCAAATCCAAAACCAAAATACCAACTCCATACGGTCCAGAAATGACTATCAAAGGCACCTTGACCTTTTGGAGTATGACATCTGGAAAAAAAATAAATTAAAAGCAATAGCTTAGTACAATAAAAACAGAATAATAAAAAATTATGATAGGATATAATACTAAGACAAAACAAAAACATTGGCCAATCATAACCAAAAAAAAAAACTTCAGCTGCAAATTGAACTTACCTGAACAACTTTCTATAGAAATAAGTTTATTTGAAATGTCTTAAAAGTTTTCACATCATATCATATTTTAAATATCACTTTTACCACTTAAAGTGAAAGTTGACTCTTTGAAATATATAAAGACTTTATCACACATCTTAAGATAATTTGGTTTGAGATTTATAGCAACAAGTCTGCAAAACAATTTAAGAAATAGGATGCAAATTATATCATATATGTTCTCCTCTATCTCAATTACATGCTTATTCAACAAATTGAAAGATCAAGGTATGCAAGAGGCAAAAATTAAAGACTTATCGTGTTTGATGATCGATCAGCAGCTTTTCTATTCCTATAAACAGAATAACCAATTATCTTACGACTAAACCAATTAATAATGCCCATTCCATATTAGCTTTTATTCCTCTAGGTGTGATCAACCTATTTGGAATTTAAACTCTGATAAGGAGTTCACTATTAACTCTGCCTGAAATCATTGGAGGAATAAGTACGATAAAGTTGATTGGCATAAGCTCATCTCGGGTCCTCATATGATACCTAGAGTCAGCTTTATTGTTTGGATAGCTTCTCATGAAAGATTGAATACCGATGATAGATTGAGTCTATTTGACTTGACCTCTACTTCAATCTGCCATTTCTGTCAGTATCCTGATGAGAGTCATTCCCACCTGTTCTTTAATTGTTTATTTTCTACTAGGATCTGGAATGCTCTCAAAGCCAAGTGCAATGTGAACTGGCCTGATCTTCACTGGCCTGATGTTATCAACTTTGCTACCAAAGAGACTAAGGGCAAATCTCTGAGATCAATTATCCTTAAATTGTCCTTGTGCTCTGTGTATCATATATGGCTTGAAAGGAATAATAGAATCTTTAATAAAGAATACAAACTTGAAGAGGTGCTTATTAAATCTATTATTCAAATGATTAGAGGTAGACTTTTGTCTATTAACAATTTGCCAAGATCAACCGGTGATGGCTGGTTCATTGCTCAGTGGAATCTGCCTGAGTCTATTTTGAAGCCCCATATCATCAGGAATGGGAGGGCTGCTGAGTGATATGAGTTCAGTATAAGAGAGATGAGTGAAGGAAAGCAACAAAGTGTGTTTTTCTAATTGTTTGCTAATCTATGCAGCAGCATGAGGAGCTAAACAGCAATTTGATGAGGGTTGAGTGAAGTAAGAAACACATTTAAAATGTCATACATATGTGGAAATTCAATGGGTTAAGTGGATTCAGGCTTTATATGAATGATTTTTATATGTAGGGTAAGGAAGCTGTAACATAGAGATGTGAGATTCTATATTGTGGGTTGAGTGTAGTGAGCCCATATATTGTGTGCTTTAGCCTGGTGCTGTTATGTGATTTGTACTACCTATTTCTTGGTAATACTTATTTCATACTTCATTATTGGTAGGTTATATTGATTACATCTAGCTTGCAAATGCATCCAAGAGATTGCTGCTGCCATGTGTTGGATGCACTTGTAAGACTGCTGCCAGTGAAGGCTGGTGACTTGGAGGAATCTTGGATGATTGTTGGCTTAGTGTGGTGGATTAGAGGTGGCTGCATCTTGCTCCTATCCAATGGAATTGAGGCTTGGTGGTGGTAGCAGCTTGCGCCCTGTCATGCTCTCTGTCTTAGTTTATTATATAGTTGTTATTACTTTTTGAACCATCTTTTGAAGACTGATGTAAATACTAGTTTATTAGTGTTATGGCCTACTCCTATGGGCTGTGTAGAAGATTCACTATGTTTTGGTTTTGAGATAGTAGATAGTGGGCTGTTGAACAAGTTTTTTAATATGTGCTGCCTTGATAAAGTTATGGTGGGTACAAGTGAAGCTATTTTTGTTAGACCATACCATGCCCAGATTGTGTTAATAGGGAGCTTCTTGACTGCCAATGCTTGGATTACTGTTGTTCAGGACCCCTATTCTATCAGTATATGGCTGCTGAACATCTTAGCTCTACATATAATTATTATGGATTAGGACAGTTTTATATATCATTTGAGGGCAGGTTAGATAATTGTTAGTTTTTGTGTAACTCTTTATAGTTGTGGTAAGGCCTGGAGCATGCCCCTTGTAATTTTGTATATTCTCTAGTATTCACCAAAAAAGAAAAGAAAAAAAAAACTCACATGTCTAAATTCACCATAACTCACAGGCCTAAAGTCACCATACTTAAGCTCAAATGAGCAAATGTTTGACAACACAACAATTCACAATCAACTTGGCCGAAACCTTTTCAAGTAATTCACATTGGTACCTCCTACATTTTCATAATCTGATTGTTCAAAATAAATGGCTAATATGGTTTCACATGGATTATGTAATTAGGGAACAATTCAAAGTTAGAACAGTAACGAAGACAGAGATTATCAAGAAAACAAGGAATGCAATCTGGTTGCTAGAAAAATACACCATGAGGGCATAAACTCATTATCAATATCGTGCCAGGCTTCATGCACCTACTAACTAAGAATCTCAGGGCTTTTATGAACTTACCTGAACAACTTTCTATAGAAAACATGAGTTGTTCCTATAATTGAACTTCAATATCTTGCTATAATCAATGTCCTTCATTATTCCTGTAATTTGATCATAAGAGCAGTTAAAATGTAAGTTCCAGAAAATTCAAGAAATGGCAAAGAACTTGCTCACAGCTAAATCATCGTACCCAGACATACTCCTCCACTTAAGCCACCACAATATCATAATAAAACAAAAATAATAATAATAATAATAATAATAATAATAATAATAATAAAAAACAAAAAATAAAATGCACCATTAGCTATAAGTTTGATGCTTTGGTTTGCCTTTTAGATGTCGTCTTATTAGTCATTTGTCGCAAATTTGACGCAATCAAGAGCAGTCTCATACCTGAATCACTGTTGAAGGCTTGAAAATAAACTTGGTGAAAAACCTCCTGTTGGCACTAAATGAAAAGAATACCAAAGCCGAAGAAAACTTTTAAATCATCAGAAGTCTCCTTAAAGAGCTATAATATATATAGCTCAATATTATACAAATATAAGAAAAGGGACCAAAAACCTCACTAAATAATCCAAACTCTAATCTTAACTCTGTAGCATGATATAAATAAAAAAGACAAGCACGACAGTAACAATTTATCTATAGTATCGATACACCAAGATTATTAGTTTTCTAGCTAGAATTTTAGAATTCTATGCATCCTAAGTTGAGTTAGTTTAGAAGTGCAATCCAACTAATTTAGTTGCTTGGAAACTACTATCTATTTTGGTAATATTAGCAGCAAAAAATGTGTACAAGCTTTGCCTATGCTCTTAATTATCATTTATAAAGAAGGCCCCTAATGGCCAAGGATCATCTTGTGCCCGCAAATCTCTCTGTCTCCCTATCCCAAAACACTCACAACTATTGAATTATGTGAGAATCTCAAACAACAAGAATCTTGATGTATAACTCAACACCTATGACTGTTTGGGGACAAGGGAACAGAGGATCCCACGTTGTCCCTTATTGTCATAAGACATTAGGGTTCTTGATTCTCTTGATGAATGACTCTGGAACTTTCCATTGATCCAATAGTGGCTCTCGATCAAGCCATTGAGTAGATTATTTTTCCCAATCTTTATATCTCAAATCTTTAAAAGTGCTGACTTTATTCTCCCATTAAATTGTTTGTAGTCCTTTACATTAACAAAATCAATGCACAAATCAAAGCTCTAATAGCTTCTTTTGCCTTTTTTCTTTTCCCTTTTTTTTTTTCTCTAGATCTAAATTTAAATCTAAATCTATTTCCCTTTGTTGATACAAAATACTCGCTCCCTACGATTGCTCTAAAAACAAGTCTGTGGAGTGCGATGTCGAACTCCATAAAAGACAAAAGTGAAACTCTATAACACTAATTAATTTTAGGAGAGATAATAAAACTCGATCCAACACCCTTAATTTAACTATTTAATTCACCACTTCATTGCAGTTCAGCTCGAAAGATCAAGAAGCATAAATATATGCATCAATATCTTGGGTTTGACAAGTAAGCACATAACCAATCAACTCTTAAGCCCTAAAGCAACTTTTTCAAATTAAAAAGTTACCAGCTAAGAAAAATTCCAATCTATGGACCACAAATTTATATGAAGCTTCTTGGAACTCAATAATTCATACTCCTACCATGAGCACCCAACAATGTCCAAACATGTGAATAACATTTGGCATAAATAGCATGGAAATAAACACCAGACACTTGGCACAAAAAATAGACATACAACAACATGGCAATGCAAATATGGAAAATTCTACAAGTAGGAAACCGAGACAGCAAGGGTACAAAAATCATAAATACATGTTTACACATATTCATATATATAGATTATTTACTTCTGATACATGTACATGTTTTCATATATTTACAGAGACCTCGATGAGCATTTATACTGCAATAAACCAACACAGAAAGAAAGAGATATGGATGGAATTAAACCCAAACAAATATTGCCATCATGAAATTCCCAAAAAAAATTCTATTCAAGCTGTAAGAACAAAGCTTCCCTTGCAATCAGAACCTTCATAACTTTGATTGAACAGTATCACTTTGAAAAATCGGCGGGAAGAAAGAGAATTCGAAACAGAGATTGCAGACGGTGGTGCTCCCCTCAGCATCACTTGGTGAAATGGGAGACTGTTTTGCTCCCATTACTAGCTAAGGTCAGCAAATATAACTCAAAAATCATCAAAATTCAAAAAAAAAAAAAGAAAGAAAGAAAAACAAAATAGTTGCAAAAATCAATTGAAAGTGAATACCATTTTCTCACAAATCAATCAGATTGAGAGCGATCAAACCCTAAATTTCCTTCAAAAACACAATGTAGGCGAACCCATTGATTCTTTCCAATATACCCACAATGTGAATAACCTACAAGATCCAATTTTTGCCCCCAAAATCGATAAACTCGCACCAAAGACAACTCTCTCTCTCTATATCTTCCTCGCTTTTCCTCAGGATTTTCTCTCTGAAAACGATAATGGAAATGGAAAATGAAGGTAATGATGGGGTTTAGAAACACATAGGAATTGTTACAGAGGCTTTAACCTCTAAGGGAAACCAAAAAACAACAAGAAAACCCTCTGTAACTTTTTCCCCTCATCAGCCCCAATTTTCTCTCTTTCTCTCTCTACGCTTTGGGAGTTCCTTTCTTCCTCGTTCTCTATCACGAAAACACTGGACACGAACGAACGAACGAACGCGTAAAGGTGAGAGAGGTAGTTAATTTTTGTATTATGGATTTGCCTTTGATGTTTTCCGTAACTGCGAGTGTTGCCATCAGGTGCTGCTGGTTTGCGATGGTGATATCAATGGCAGTGGTGGTTGTGTGCTCTTGTACTGACGGCGGTGGAGAGAGAGAGGGAGGAGGAGGAGGAGGAGGAGGAGATAGAGGCGTGATAGAGAAAGAATAAGAAGCGTTTTTTTTTTTTGGTCTATTAGCCATGACACAACGAAGGCCATGGCAAAAAACAAAAAATCTTTTTGCGACGGAAAAAAAGTCGTCTCAAAAAAATAGACTTTTACGACGGCTACTAATTTGCCATCGCAAAAACTATCCAACATATTCTTTCATCTTTTTGAGATAGGAATTGCCGTCGCAAAAAGAGACCATTGGCGACGGGGTATTAACCGTTGTAAAAGAGTACTTTTTGTGACAATTAATATGCCGTCGCAAAAAATTCCATGTCATATACCCACTTTTCTAGTAGTAATACTCTTAGGTCATGTTTGATTCACAACACTAATAGTGAGGTATTAATAATCCTATTAAATTAGTGTGGTATTAGTTATCCCACCCCTACCCCATTACTAATAATCCTACAAATTTGTTGGATTAATTATCCATTGGATTAATAATCCTAAACCAAAATGTCAAAACAAACATAGGATGATTGGGCCCACGGATTAATAATCCCAATCCTATGCTTTAATCCTTCCAATCAAACATGCCCTTAAAACACTCATTAATAAAATCCTATTTAAATAATTAAAAACAACTAGAAAGTGGTTTTCAATTTATAGATAATAATAATAATAATAAAAAGTTGGCAATTACATTCGGCACAAGTAAAAAGTGAAAAAAAATCCAACCCACAACCTTCAATATTGGAGACCATGGCATAGGTCACCTCAAGATTAGTCACTAGGTCCCTAAAAATCCAAACCAAAATTATTGATCAATTTCACTTTTTAAACACCCATTTAAAGGTCCAACCTCATCGACATCAACCATTTTTTAAACTCTCAATTAACACCCTACATGGTGTGTCCACCCACTAAGGTGGCAAACACAATGCATTATCTTTGAATACATTTCTTCCACAATCCAAACACCAATAGCCAAATAGGTATTCTAAATCTTTTCTCCGTTACATGACTCCGGCCTCGTTTGGGAATATATTTTTTAGTAACTTTTTTATTTTTTGGCTAAAATATAATGTAAAAAAAAATTAATATATTTGGGATGAATTTTTGACTTTTTACGAAAAGATGTGCAAAAAGTAAAGAGAAAATGAAATCTTTGACTTTTTGGTATGGGTTGTTGACTTTTTGATTTTTTTAGTAACTTTTTAGCTAAAAAGGACACTTGCCAAACGAGGCCTCAATCAAAGTGCTCCAAGAAAATGCTGGAATATGTCCTCAATCAAATTTGATTCTACATGGAACCCCAATAATATACAATTAATGTTGCTTGGACTCTTGATTTTTAAAGTATATATAAATTCCCCCTCATCTATTTGGTTAGATATATATAGTGTGCATGAGGAGATCAAGGCAAACAACCTTATTCTCACAATCTTGCACTAGTAATAAAAAACCCTAGCAATAAGAAAAATTGGACCACTTAACTATATATTATTAAATATTATTAGGCGTATGATTAATATTAATAGTTTTTTTTTTATTAATTGTATATATTTGTCTCATATAAGAGTTTTATGTTCAGATTACGGCACCTTATGTATCAATAAAATGGAAGACAAGTACTAGAGTGGTCGAGTTTAGAAATAAGTCAAATATTAGACCATTTGGGCTCCTAACACCCACAAGAAATTTTTTAACTTTTCAAAATTTAGTTAGATAAGAATTCATTTTGATATTTAATCTAAGATCTCCAAAAATCTTGAACTGCTCTTTACTAATAGTTTGTTTGCTGTGAAGTCTCACTTAAGCGGCACCATGTGTCACACCATGAATGGCATGTAGGACGTGTGAAGAGCACTCATGGAGAATGAATCAAGTAGGCTCTTTTTGCAAGTAACCATATTTTTATTTTCATGGATGGGAGACTTAGGGCCTGTCGGCAATGCTACTTTAAGCTTTGTTGATTGCATCAATTCAGGTAGGAAAATCCATTAATGGAGGGAGACAATGATGTTCCACCTGGGCCATGGTGGTTTTTTAGGGCTGTTTTGTTTACTTCACCTCATAAATTTCCATCATTATCAAAATTGATCTAGAAATAGAAAATTTATATAAAATTTTATATTAGAATGATGTGATAATGATCCTATTTTGTTTAGAGTAATTATATTAGTAGTTCCTGCATTTTTCCTCTTGTGTTATTTTTATTCCTATAATTTTAATTTACTTGATTTTGACTATTAATTTTAAATTTTATGTCAATTTAGTCTAATTAATAAGAACGATTAAAATTTTTGAAGAAAATTGGTTACTGAGTTGGTTGATATTAATTCATTAAGTTGAACAAGTTTATAATTTTACTTATAAATACATAACACATTTCATTTGTATGCATATTTTCCATCCAAAAACATAAACAATTTTAATCAATTGAACCAAATTGAGATAAAATCAAAAATTCTAGGTTAAAATTGAATTAATTAAAATTAAAATAACCAAAATAATACAGGTAAAAGTATAAAAACTATCAATATAATTTACTATTCTTTTTATTATAATATATATATATATATATATAAGTCACATTCACGGGCTAAATTTGTTTTTAAAATAATAAGGCCAAAGCCGTTGCATCATTTGAATTAAAATTCTATATAATTTTCACAAAAATGTTTGAAAGCACAAAATAGGGAACACTAGGAGGAGCTCTAATGAGCTGCCCCCTTCCTCCTCCCATGATGTGATGGCTGAGTGTGTCTGTTTGCATTTTGTTTTTGTTTTTATTAGAAGTTACGGCAAATACGATGGGTGTGTATATGATTATTTTATTTAAAAAAATAATACTCTAAATTTTATGATTGAATCAAAAATTTAAAAACTAAATTTGAAAAAGAAGAAGTTGAGAGATTTAAAAAATTCAAAACAAAACTTGAATTTAGGGTATAACTGTCTAACTACTATAAAGGTGTTTCGAAAAAATTCAAAAAATGAAACGTCAATACCAACTCTAACATTCACATATATAATGGCATAGATTTGTTTTATTCTTATGAGAAGTGAAAGCACACGCGATTCATGTACAAATAATTATTTTATTTCAGAAAAATAAGATTATAATTAGTGATCGAATTAAAATTTTGAAAATTAAAATGAATTTGAAAAAAAAAAAAAAAGGAGTTGAGATATTTAAAAAAAAAATTCCTGAATTTTGGACGTAATTGCTCATGTAACTACTATAAGACTAATTTTGGAAAATCAAAAAAAAAAAATGAGACGTCAACATTTACATATATAATAGATAGATAGATAGATAAATAGATGAAAGGGCACTTGGATCATAAATCCAAATTTTAATTTTGTTTGGCCAAAAGTTTACACTCTAAAATTGTCACACCCCAATCTTCATAACCCATTTTATAATTTTCAATCCATAAATGTTATCCAATTTCATAGTAGCGTGTGGATATAGGAAAAAGAAATACCACAACCTTGTAAAACAAATACATATATAATGAAAAGGAGATAAATACATCAAAAGTACCCTAAGGGCATACATCTTTCAAGGCTAGGGCCTTGATCACAAGTAAGATAAAACCTGAACAAGTAAGCTCGGCAATTGTCAGCATGTAATCATCAAAAGGGAGCTCTTATGCTCCAATAAGATTTTCACAGCTCTTTGGTGGAAAGAAGGCATATCATCGTCACCCCAAATTTTGGACATCCAACTCATACAAAGGGAGTGAGTTTTGACGCTCAGTAAGAATACTCTTAACAATATAATTTTATAATTGTCACACCCCAATCTTCATAACCCATTTTATAATTTTCCAACCTTCGTGCACGGAAGGGCAGTCAGATACCTTAACACACATAACATGTTTTCAAAACCACATACACTTTAAAATAACTCAACATTTGATTCAAACCATGAGAATGTAATGCAATGTATGAATTTGCATATATTATAATTTGCCCAAGGTTTAATTCAATTATATAAGTAATCAGCAATTAAATAAGCAATGAAATTTTTATATTTTCATAACTTAAAGTCTTCCTCATCATCAACAATAATTTTATACAATATCCAAACTTTATGTTCTTTCAACATTTCCAAGTTTCCACCTAACGCGACTTTCTTAAATCATCAATAATATCATCATAGATTAGAAATTTATCCAACTCCAATATTTTCATAAAAAATCAATTTAAATTCCAACATAAAACACGAATTAGGTTAAATCCCCTTTTAAAACAAAACTCACAAATCTAGGGTTTCAAAAAAATTGGAAGTTTCACAAAATCTCCTACTCACCAACTATTATTCATTTTTATGTCAAAACATCCAAAACATTTCAAAAACTTGAGTGAATATACCATTTGACACTTTAATAACTTTTAATTCAAAAAGTTTCTAACTCATATCAACCCATAACCATAAAATATTACATAATCACACCAACTCATAAATATATAAAGTTAAGAAAACCCTTACCTCAAGATCTTGATGGATTTGGTTAGATGATGAAATTTGTAACGTTTGGCGTAGGTTTTAGAGAGATGGGAGACGAAAACAGAGAGAGTTGATAGAATGAGAGAAAAGGGGGAGAGAGGGCCAACAAAAGGCTGATGGGCACAAAATTCGAGGCATTCACATGTCTGGCCGCACATGCGGTGACCCCCTTCTGCACGTGCGGTGCCCCATGGCTGCACGTGCAGTTTATTGAAGTGTGAAAACCCTTGCTGCTCCACTTGGCTGCACGTGCGGTTTATTGAAGTATGAAAAACCCTTGCTGTTCCACTTTGCCACACGTGTGGGCTCACCCACCGAATGTGCGGAGCCCCTGCCCAAAAACTTCAAATCTTACTGCACAAAACCGCACGTGCGGGCCCTCTTGGTCGCACGTGCAGGAAAACCTGATGGAGTCAAAAATTATTCTAAGGCATTCCCACACCCCCCATTCCGTCCTTACGCCCGAAACTAGAAAATTCTAACTTGCCAAGACATTAAGAAGACTAGACAAGGTACAACACGCCAACGCCGATGCTTTGCACAACTCTCAAAACTCCGA